TGTGTATAAGAGACAGGAGGTTACCTGCCGGCGGGGCTTGTGGCAGCCGCCTACCGAGCAGGGGCACAACGGGGCGTTTCTGTGGTGGTCCCAGGCTGGGTGGCCGAGTCAGGGCGCTTACCCTGCTCCTGGTCCCCCTTCCCCTACCGTAGAACGCACTTCTGCGTAACTCGTTTTTTATTATTTGCCTAAATATCTGACCAGGGGTGGAGGGCTGTCTGCTTCCAAACCGCGTTACTCTTTAATGCGAAGCACACCTATTTCGGGCATCTGTTAATGCTGTGTGAGGCACTCGCTGACCTGCCCATAAAGGCAGCTGCCATTTTAACCCTCCCCATTGCCCTGGCCTCCACAACGCCTCCAGGCTCCTCTTCCACACAGTTTGTCTCCATTTTTTATTTCACGTATAGGCTTTCCTTAGCCTCTCTGTTGCCGTTTCTACCTTTCTCTTCTTGCTTCAGCATCTCAGAGTCCCTTTTGTGTCCTCCCACCCTACACATAACCCCTGTATGGTCTGTTCTTTCCCCAGCTTTTTAAATGCCTCTGCCTGCTCACACATCCTAGACACAAAGTAGAGAAGGGGAAGAGCAGTCACCATCTTCCCTGACATGTTTCAGTCATGTTGGGGTAGGGGAGAGCCCTTTTTCCAGGGGTACCCTTGCTGTCACCACCAATGGCAGAGGACAGACATTGTGACTGAGGGCAATTTGAGGCTTTAGTTCTGTTTTCAATAACAGGAATCACGAATTTTGATTATGGTTCAAACATGTTTGATTACAGACATTTTTAATTTCTGCCCAGTATGACAGAGCGAAAGATCAAAGCTGGCCCTTTTGGCACTAAGGGTAATTCCAAAAAGAGTGTCTGTTGTAACCTTATCTCTTTCTAGGAGGGAGGTGTGACTAAAGCTGCTGATTTTATTCCTTTTTCTGCCTTCACACTCTTTCTATGGCCCTTGCAATAGCTTTCTTTTCGCCTTTCCTACAGTCACTGATTCCATCTACCAGGATATTTCCAGTCATTGTAGAGGAAAATCTGGTATGCTTTTTACAGGTTGTCCCCGTTGAAATTGTTACAGTCTGTCCTTTTAGATTGTACTTTTTCTTATGATCCTTTCCAATGAATCATAGCAGATCCAGTTATAGAGATGATACTTCCATGTTTGCTAAAAATAAAACCTAACCCTAAATTTTGGAACAAGATATTTGCTCCTTAAGAGCCAGATCCAAAATCAGTGATAATTTTATGGATGAGATCCTTAAATTAACATCTTAGGTGAACAATTTTTCTATTAGCCTTATCTCTTCTACAAATTCTAACTTGACATTTTAAAATGATCCCTTAGCCAAATAGAAAAGTACTTCTGGTAAGTCAGCATATGGTAAAGAATATCCTAGAATCACTTCACAAATATGCCAAGCTTGTGTTCTGCAACTGTTAGGCAGGTTTTTTCTCCTTCTGATTTTTTTTATGGGAAGAAAATCTGTTAATATATGAAGGTACTGAAAGATAAAGGAAAAATTCAGTGCATTTAGGCAGATCATCCTATTTCCTTTACCTTAAGGATATCTATGTGTTAAATAAATTAATAGCAATCAAATTACTCAGTATGTTAATTTCAGGGCGGAGGAGTTTTATCGGTAGATACAGGCTTTTTATTTTTGTAGCAATACAGGTCATAACTGAAAGACGATCTTTCAGTCTCCTGTGGATGCTTAAAACTTGTTTTCTTATGGTCAGTGGAAAAAATATGGAGGTTTACCTTGTGAATTGTGTTGTTGCGTGTAAATTAATGAGCTGTTGTTGCTTCTAAATAATTTTCATGCTATGGGCTTGATAGTCATGTGAATGAGTTTGTATTTTTGTGTGCTGTCCCCTAGGACACTGGTAAGAATATATGATCTTTCTCAGGGATGAACGCTGTAAATCCAGAAAATTTATTTGAATTATTTTAGGAAGGAAGGGATCACATCTCTGACAGCTAGAATATGCCAGCCATTTTGAGAGAGAAAGACACACGGCAGGAGTGGTTCAGTTTTAGGAGGACTGCTGTCTCTGTCATACTGGACACATGCTTGACATGTGAATAGTAATCAGTGCTGCATTAGCTGTGGGGCTTATTATTAATTTCTCAGTTTAATTAGGATATATGATTTGTAAGTATCAACTCTGTATGTTGGACTTCCCAGGTAATAGAGAGCTGTACCAATAAATTGCAGGATGTTGTAATAGAAAGAAACAGGTGAGGATGTCAGTCATTCTGATCTGTGTTTATTTGAAGTTTGAAATATTGAGAAACAAAATTTTCTGAGAAAACCTACTTTTCTTTACATTCCAACACAATTTGGGCTGTAATTTAAAATCCTTTGTGTGGGGAGGGGACAGGAGGGGCAAACACACACAAAATGAGATGTGTTTTCTCTATGGTTATATTAGTAGAAATCTCTCCTATATTGCAAGATGTAGTTTTGAATTACCTCATATCAGACAGCAATTAAACTGTGCATCATTATATGTAGTGGCAGAAGATAGGCCAAACATTGGGAAAAAAAAAAAATTCTTCACACAAATGAAATTGGGCTATATGAGAAATAGCTATGCAGTACTGTCAGGAAAATGCTCAAACCTTTCAGAGCTGTCATCTGCTAGTTTTCAGATACTAAACAGACAAAGAACGCACATAATAAGAATCACCTCATTTCAATATGGGGCCTAGTAATTCTTCAGCCTGCAAGTTTGCAAATGCTTTTCCATTCATGAAGAGGGGAGTGTATAGCACAAAATTGAGGTAATATTTTAAATTTTCTTAAAACACAGTACAAGCATGAAATTCTCACAGTGGCTTTTTGAACTATCATAAAGAAACTCTCTCTGCTTTATTGTAATTGAGGTGAAAAAAGCATAAAGAATTTTTCCAAGGCAGTGTGAATCCCACCAATTATGCTAGGATTAAAACCAGTAATTTTGACAGACTTCAACTGGCAGAATAAAATCTGGTGGCTCTAATTGTTACCACCCCTGGATGCCTGCCCCTGTGCTGACACATTGCTGCCCCTGAGGCAGAGATGTCTGATTCACTTCTGAATTGATTCCAAAACCACTGCAGTTTTCAGCCAGTATATTATAGTCAGTTGAAATTAATACGTGTTAACATTAATAAACTTGGTTAAACAGGGTGTGGATTCAGGAGTATACTGATAACCAGAGCAGGTGCCCCTGCCTTGAAAGCAGCAATAGCCATCAGAGAGAAAACTGGGGAAGGTGAGGTAACAGCTTCAGCCTTTACGTTTTAATCTGCTGCTGAGGCTGCCAGAGCCCCTGTTCTCAACCCTTTGTCTAAGATACTGAAGTAGCTGATGGCCAGCTACTGAAAGGTTGTGCTGTTAAACGAGTGCCCCAGTTCATTGCATTCAGTGCAGGCAAGTCCCTCTGAAAAGTATTCATCATCTAAGAGGAACCATCCACGTTTTCTAGAGTAATTTATTAAGAAAATTCTCTCCAGTTAAGCAGATTTGAGCTGGAACTTGATGGTGAAAAAGAATGTATGTTTCAAATTAGATGGACATACTAAGCACAAAAGAATCTGGATACAGAAGGCAAATATGTTAAAATCTGAATACATTTTAAAAGTGGCTTAATACTCAGACTAGAGAATGAAAACCAAAGCATGTTATTTCCTTTATTTTTTCAACCTGAATTATTGTCTGTGATTTAAGATGAGTGGGCAAAAGACTTTCACAAATTGAAAGCAATCCCATTCGCTTGTGTTCAACACACTTCTATCCTGATTGCAATAAGGACAGTTCTAGAGGGGGATGTGTTCTTGCCTCACATGAAAGACATTATGCTTCAGGAGTTTTTTTCAGCTGTTGCTAGCTTTGATTCTAAAGTATGCCTGCTTCTGCTTCGATGCTCAATATGTGCAGTATATTCCTGTGCATTGGCAGGTTGTTTCACAGAGACTGGTGAGCACGAGTTTTTCTCCTGTTAATTATGTTCAGCATCCTGAAGTTCTGAAATGAGTTTTGATCGGACTGAGTACAGGTCTGAGTTCTTTCTTGTGTGCAGAAAATATAAGTGATGTGAATTTTAGTAACTGCCCTACTATTGCAGTGCTCTTTTTAAGTGACTGATGTGTGGGTCTCTCTATGTGAAATCAAAACAACTTGTATGTGCTCTCCTTGCTTACTCATGTTTCTGGTGGCTTCATTCACTTAACCTTAATAATGTGAGCAGGATTTGATTCTGTGTTGATTCTACATGTAATATAGAATGTAAATATGTGATCTAGGTCTGAACTAACACAGCTGTGTTCTTAAAAGGAGCAATGTATTGTTCATACCCTCTTTGCTTATTGCTTATCAGGTTTACTAGAAAGCAGTACAAGGCTAAAACCTCATGAAGCTCAAAGCTACAGAAAGAAGGCATTGTGGGTTTCCTGGGTCTCCATTATTGTCACACTGGCTCTTGCAGTGGCTGCTTTCAGTGAGTATTGGGAATATTTTAAATCTTCACACCTCTTTTCCTTTTTACTTTTCTTTTGGGCTCTCAATTTCTCTCTTTGTGGAAGCTTTCTCATGTTTTTTCTTCACAACTGCTAAAGTGGTTTCTCTCTAGACTGCCTGTGTCTGCATGGTGCTTATAAATTAGTAAAACTGTTAGTTTTTTTCTGCAGAGGATAGGGTTGTTGAAGGTCGGAGGAAGAAACAGGAGATGTTGATTCCTGCTAGCATTTATGCATGCGGAACTGTTCATTTTACGGAATAGTGTAAAAATCATTATGCAGTGGATTGCCTTTAACCGAAGAGGTCAGATATGACAAGTCTTAATCCACCTGGGATTTGTAGTGGGAAGGCTATAATAAAGAATAGTGAGTTGTAAGGGAGAAATATATAATTTATCTGTATTACACTGACAGATACCCTAACACAATGCTAATCTGGAGGAGAATTACCAGTTTATTTTTAAGCTAGTATTTAAGTTCCAAGACATTTGTCTAGTTTACCTTTACACAAAGAATTTGAAAAAAAAACCCCAAACCACTATTATATGGAAAAAATGAAATATATTTCTTTAATTTCAGAACAGGAAAAAAGGCTACCTTGTGTAAATAAAGATATATTTTATTTCAATGCAAATTTGTAAAATACCAGCTTCCTATCTTGGTCAATCAACACTGCATTATTTTAAGGACAAAAAGAAATGTGAAATCTGTAACAAAATCTTTGCGATGGCACATTCCCTGTTTAAAAGAAAGAAAAACCAGAAGTGACTGGATTTACGTGTTTATATAAACAAAAGGAAAGCTCTGTCTAGGAAACAAAGCATCTAAGATGTCTCAAAACATCATTCTTCAGTTTGATAAAGACAGACTTGCTTTTTTTTTTTTTTTCTTTTTTTCTCAAACTGCAGCAGCATGTGTTTTATTATTCTAATCTGCAGTGTACGACCTGCTGCTGGAAGTTGGTGTCAGCTCCCAGGAGAGATTATTAGAATCTGACCAAATGGTCTCTGAAAACTCAACATACATTACTTGGAGTGATTTATATAGAAACACAGGTACAATAACTTGATTCAAAAAAGAGAAAAGAGGAGGAACGTTTAAAAGCAGAATCTAACACTGTGAAGAATTTGAATGTTAACAAGAAGGCAGGACATCTGAGTTTCTATTTTGTTCTGCTTCATAAAAATGCAATAGTCTGTCTTTGCTACTGAGGCAACATGAAAGTAAGTACTATGATATAGAATAATTTTGTTACCTATTAACAATATAATTTTAGGGAATATCGAGAAAGGGCTTCATTTTATTTTACTTTTTCATTTGTCAGAGTTGCAAGACATAAATATAAAATAGATAACTAAATCATTCCATTTCTTTTAAAAGGGTCTTTAAAAAAACTTTTGAAGTTTAGTAAGGTTATCTGAAAGCTTTTATTTTCTGTTTTCCTTATTTGTGGCACTATGGCAGTATTTAGAAACCCTACCACAAAGCCAGCAGAGAAGGTAGTCCCTGCCCAGATCTGCTGTGACTGCATACTCAGCTGGTGTGGCTGGGCATTGAACTACTGTTGAACTTGTAGTTGACTAGCTGTATGTCTTGGCAATGTATCTTTCGTCGTGGTTTGAAGGGGCTAAATTTATGAAGAATAGAAGAGGGAGCAGCACGTAGATATGTTTTAAATATGTTTAATAGACAGGTGATGGTTAATTTACATGCCACTATGTCATTGCCAGGGCTTTTCATATGCTTGATATTAAGACTTCTTAATCTTTGTGGAAAATATATTCTTCTAGAACCACTTTGCTCCCACATGCAATTTCAGCAGTTCTGTTCAGTTTATCATTTCATATTGGCTGCTCTCTTCGTTTATACTGTCCTTTTAGCAGGTTCCTCTAGCCAATCCATGAGTTGGGAGACATGCCAGGTGGCCAGAGTTTGCTACCTGCTTGATGTAAATGACTAGTTGTCACTTTGGGGTGTCTGACACTGCCAATTCTTTCCAAACACCTACTATTTAAAGCATCCTGTTTCTGTTCTACCTGTTGTCTGTAATGGTAAAGTGTTAGCAATACAGCCCTGATGTTCCCTTTCAGTGAAAAATGGGGACCTGCTGTGTTAATTGGCAGGCTACACTGACTGTATTGTCACTACTCTTTCTGATTTTCCTGTAAGTTCTTCCTGTAAAAGTCTGTTTTATTCTCTTATGTGCTTCAAAATACATTTTTGCAAGTGTATCTTATGGTGCTGCTTTTGCAGTACCAGTACCATACAGTAAAGATACTAGGTCAGGAACATTATTAGGTAATTGTAGTTGAAGAAATGAAAAACATGGAGGGTAAGAAAAATACTAAAGGGAGTGATACCCATGTGCATGGTCTGTGTGGAGAGTGGGGAAGTGATTCAGGAGCCTCCTTTTCCAACCAAGTGTTTGTAACTAGACTTCCTTTCCTTTTTTTTGTGGTCTGCACCCTCCCTTCAGTGCTGCAGCTTGATCACCATCTTTAATTTCAAGACTAGTCTATTTGCTTCCAAAGCTATATTTTTCCACCATTGGAGAAAGGTAGAATGGTTTATCTTGACTGGTATGAGATGATTTCTTTCAGTGGGATTATGATGATGCCACAGCTAAACTTTCACCGTAATATTGAAAGATTGATAAATTTTACATTAATCTGAATACATAGTTTCCTTATTAGGTAATGAGCTATGACACATAAGATGTGAGATCATTGATCTGAACTCTGTGTTAGGCTTACTATTAAAAAGAACCTGTGTACAGTGTATTATAAAAGTGTATAAATTCAAATTATGGTATACCTATAGACCTGTCTTATATTTGCTACATAACAGGTATATTCTCTCCGGGATGGGTTGTTTTGTGGCCTGAAATACTGGAATGCAGAAGATGAAATGCTGACATACACATCAAAACGTGTTTGGTCTCTTTAGGCTTGGAATTCTAAACTAGGCTGTGCTGGATATGGAGCAGGCTGGCTGCTTAAGGGAAAATGAAATAGTCATCTTTCATTCACTAATACTGAGAAGTAGCACTTACACAGACCATAAAATCAGCTTTTTCATTTAGCTGAAAGAAGAGATCTCTTACTATCAGGTACTTAATATACTGAATTTTACTACAGAAGTGCTGTACTTGTAAAAGACCATTTGGAAGCTTTGACTGCTGCCTCTAAATACGGCTTCTGCACTCTGTGGTAATGGTTGTGGTCTCATTGGCTTTGGATGCTTTGAAGGTGTGGCTTTCCAGCATATACTTTCACAAGGCTTCAGTAAAATCTTTATAGACTTAAATTTGTTTAAGATCCTTGAGGTCAGTGGAGCCCTATGGTATCATCTTTAGTGACTGAAAGTTATGCTTGCTTAGAATCAGCTATGCATATTCTGACATTTGTGTTTTTGTCCAATACTTTTATGGTCAGATACTGAGAAATGTCTAAGGAATAAGTTCATTTCACTTTTCATTTCGATGCTGTCTGAAATATGTATGCTTGTAGAGTTCCTGCAAAGATTGGATTTAATTTTTAGATACATATAGTCATAAAATGAGACTGGGCATAATAGAAATTTCTAAAATGAACAGTAATTTATTTCTCAGCATCCCAAGTAAGTACTGGAATAATAATTTTAATATAATTATTTCTTTCTGTTTTACAATAATACAAGAAAAGAATGATAACATAATATGAATATCTTTTTTTGCAGTATATATGTGTAGTATAAGGCTGTAGTCTAAATAATTTCATAATAAGAATTGTAACTTTTCTGTAGCTGCAGTATTGTAGGTTCATGCTGAGGCTAGTTTCAGAATCACAATAGAGGCTGAGGGACTACTGCAGTGGAATGGAACGCTGGTGTTTTGAAACCCATTATTCTTAATTTTTTGTTGTTTATGTTACTGAAAAAAAATTTTGAAAAAGATACAAATACAGCTTTTGCTGTTGTAGTTTAATTTCTGCTCAAGCAGCTAATCTCTGATACTATTGTCAAAGCAGAAAACAAACTCATTCTATCTGGTATTTCTTGCCCAGTGTAGACTTGTGATTCACAGAACGTAGTTTGTTCATTCATCTTCCTGATTTGATTAGCTAAAGTTGTTTCACAGTGAATGGAGTAGTCATATCAATATATCCAAACAATATATAGACCAAATTCTGCACGAAAAGCTCTCTTTGTAGTCAGAGATTGAGTTAAGATTTAGAATGTATGCCTTTGTAAATGTAAGCTTTGTAAAGGGCTTTCATGAGGCAGCCGTCGAGATGGAACTTGCAGGCAGCCTGTCCCAGTGTGGTCAGAGCATGCCTGAATGGGCCCTGAATGCTAATGCATCACGGGAAGAGTTGGCGCTGGGCTATGTGCAGAATGCTGGGGAAATAGCAGTCAGATCTCATGGTTGCTTTAGAAATAACTCCTTGTAGATTAGCACAGATGTATTTAAGAGTTTAGCCTTATAGAAAAATAACTGAAAACTTGAGTGCAACCAACAGGTGCATGATTTGAGGTCCTATCCTGATTTAGTTTAGTTTGATGTAGTAAATATGCACTGTTATTTTGAGAAGGTGAATTTTACTCACTGAAAGAAAAACACTGAGTTGCTGGAGTGTGTCTGAAGACGAGCTATGAGGCCAGTGAAGGATCTGGAACATAAGCCTTCTGAGGAGCAGCTTGAGGAAACTGGGGGTGTTTAGTCTGGAGAAAAGGAGACTGAGGGGAGACCTCATCACCCTCCACAACTGCCTGAAAGGAGGGTGTAGCGAGGTGGGCATTGGTCTCTTCTCCCAAGTAACAAGCGATAGGCTGAGAGGGAATGGCCTCAAGTTGCACCAGAGATTGTATATTATGAAAAATTTATTCACCAAAAGTGATGTCAAGCACTGGAACAGGCTGCCCAGGGAAGTGGTTGAGTCACCAACCCTGGAGGTATTTAAAAGATGTTTAGGTGTGGCACTCAGGGACATGGTTGAGTGGT